CAAATCTGAAAATATAACATCCATGTCGGTACCTGCCCCACCACCACTACCACATTTTGAACAATTTCAGGTCTGCGACCTTGTTTTGCTCAACTATAAACAGCTCCTGCCATAGACCAATGCTTCTAAAATGGAACAGCGACCAGCAAAGCAAGGGCTAGTCAGGTACAGTTCATCTCCATTTACTTCCACATTTCATGGTTAATGATAACTTCAACATTATATTGGCAGTTTTAGTATCGACTTAAGTAGTATTAATTAATTATTAATTAATAGTATGAATTTTGGGGCCAGGCGAGATGGCTCACCCCTGCAATACTAGCTTTCTGGGAGGCCAAGGCAGGAGGATTGCTTGAGGTCAGGAATTCAAGACCAGCCTGAGCAAGAGCCAGACCCCATCTCTACTAAAAATGGAAAAAATTATGCGGGAGCAGTGGGGTGTGCCTGTAGTCCCAGTTACTTGGGAGACTGAGGCAGGAGGATCGCTTGAGCTCAGGAGTTTGAGATTGCAGTGAGCTATGATGACGCCACTGTACTCTGCATTTTAGCCAGGGCAACAGAGTGAGACTCTTGTCTCAAAAAAAAGTATTAATTTTTAAGTAATTATTTATAGAAACTACTTTAAGACAGGCCAGATATGTTCAACGATTCCTTATTCTCAGACATTGTTTTATTCCTAATTTCATCCCCAGATTAATCTCTCCTATCCAAAAGGAAATTTAAAAAAAAAAAAATTTTATCTATAAAATTTGGGAATTGAGCTATATAAAGTATCCTCCAGTTTTATGATTTTTGAGTTATAGGAGGAGTCGCAGGAGGACTAGGACCATTTCTGGACTTATTAAATCTTATTTGGGAATTGCTGAAATAGAGCATGTTATCATGTTTCTCCCCAAAGTAACAATAACCAAAAAAAGAAAACCCTAGAAAATATAACTCAATCTTCTCTAATATTTTGAAATAAAAATTATAAAAAAATATATAACTCAGTCAATAAATGGAATTCAAGAAAAAATATTTTAATATTCTTACAATCCACAGAGAATAAATGCCAAAGAAAATTTAAGTCAGTAAATCTACACGTATAAGAAAATTTTTAGCCAGAATGAAAGGCTATTTTTGACACAGAAATTAACAAACTGCCTGTCAAAAATTAAGTTCAACATTTTTTTAATAAACACAAAGAATTCCGGCCGGGCACGGTGGCTCACGCCTATAATCCTAGCACTCTGGGAGGCTGAGGCAGGAGGATCACTCGAAGTCAGGAGTTCGAGACCAGCCTGAGCAAGAGCGAGACCCCGTCTCTACTAAAAAAAATAGAAAGAAATTATCTGGACAACTAAAAATATATAGAAAAAATTAGCGGGACATGGTGGTGCATGCCTATAGTCCCAGCTACTTGGGAGGCTGAGGCAGAAGGATTGCTTAAGCCCAAGAGTTTGAGGTTGCTGTGAGCTAGGCTGATGAGCGAGACTCTGACTCAAAAAAAAAAAAGAAGAATTCCAAAGGAACAAAATAGGCAATATTTTAATTCCAGGCTGCATGGTAGGAGTCTGGCTGATCTCAGAAACTCATTGCCCTCCCACCACCTTCCAACACGCACACAGCCCACGACCAAGACAGAGTCCTGGGGAGGAGGCCAGGTCATCCACATGATGACTCTCATCAGAAGGAAGGTCTCCTTTTTTCCCAGACAGGTCTTATGAAAGCACAAATTAGCAACAAGTATACAAAGCTAAGACACACAAAAAGTCAAAGAAATGAGGCTTCTGAGCAGGGCAGAAATGGTTTTCGTGGCACTTTGACACTTATCCTGGAAGAATGCTGTGTACCAGGATCCTGCCCACACCTCCATTCCTGCTGGGGAGGGGAGCCTGGGAGCCCCCACTTCCAGCAGCACAGTAGGACAGCCCCTTCCAGAACACTCAGCTCCTGCAGTCCCCTGAACCCCCACCAAGAGAGCTCAGAAACCTGGTGCCACCAAGTAGAAACACTGCTCCTGTCATGCCATGGGACTTAAAAAAAAGCCTGCTGAGAATGCCTATTGGTGGTTGCCTACAACTAGGGGGATTTTTCTGGGGGGAGTTAAAATCAAGATCAAGTTTGATATGAACCTCTGAAACAGTTTTGAACTTCCCTGCTGTAACTCACAATCATTAAAGCAAGACAGTTATGTTGCTACTTACATTTCTAAATGGAGGGATGTGTGGCCTCACTCTTGAACTGGGAGCGTGCCTGAGATTGCCCTTTGTGTGGTAGCTCAGTTGCACCATTAAACAAAGGTAGCCTTGAACTGCTCATTTCTACCAGTCAGCGACAGGGAGCATTGGAGATCACCGGGGTGGATACGTTATCTCAGGAGGCTTAAACTCCACGCTAAGGAAGGTGCTGTGTAATACATACACTTTCTAAACACCAGACACTACCTTGCTGTGTGGATCTGATATTTTCTTCACCCTACAGCATTTCACAAAATCCTCTAGGCAATCAGTTACAAAGCCAGCTGCCCACCAACATCATGCACTGTGACCAAAATGGGAAAATGACACACCTTTGTCAACACAGCTACCTTTTAAAAATGCTTCTGCCAGCTGCTCACAGATGGCTCCTCCAGCAGACTCTTCACGGCTACTCAGCTGCCACTTTGGCCAGGCCACATGCATGAAGGCTCAGCCCACCCACAGAAGACACTGCAAAGTGCTAAAAGGACCCATGGGCATACACAGGGACTCCCTGGTAACAACCTGGGGAAACCACTCAAGGCTACTACAATCATTCTTAGAGTGGGAGAGTTTCCAAAGGAAGCCAGCAGATGGGCTTCTGCCAAGGAGGCCTGATTCCCCAACACACGCATCAGGTAGGGGCTTAGGGAGACATCCGTGATGGTATGGACACATCCATGACAGGGTTACCACGGAGTGGGGGAGAAACCTGCAAGCCCAGGTGCCAGCCGTGTGCCCTCGGAGAGAGGCCAGGAGGAATGGGTCCCTGGGATGGAAGGGAGGACGGCAGACAGACCAGCAACCCCACCCCTAACTGGAAACTGGGGCCCAGCCTCATCACCAAGAGCTGCCCCCGGCTGCAGCACACACACCAGCCACAACTGGCTCCCAGACACCAACCAGCAAGCCTAGGACCAGCTGTAGAACTCCCGAGGGCCCCCTTCCAGCCAGACCGGGGCCCTTTCCACTGCCTATTTACTCTTCTTTACCTGGAGGGCAACTGATAGGACTTGCTAATAGCCAGTTTGGAATTTTACATCACAAAACCACCAGAGCAAAACTAACTCCACCCAGAAAAATTCCAAGTCCGCAAAGCCCATTGTTGGGCAAATATCTCTGCTTCAGTGCCATTTATCATTCAAATTAGGTTTTTGCCACACTTAAGTTGGATGTATCACCAAAAAAGTGACTTGGAGCAGGCAGCCATCCTCATTTCAGCTGGGAGAGACGTGGGCTCTGAGGCCGAAAATCTGGCTGCTCCCTCAACGCTCTGGAAAACCAAGACCCTGTTTCGGCTCATTTAGCTACATAATTGCTTCTGAGGACCAGGGCATAATAAAGAATATCTTAAAATAATTTTGATCTTTTCATTTCCCCACAAGTAGCACATTCTATTTACCACTTTAGATCCTTAAAGTTACATCCTACCCACCTGTAGGAAAAAAATCATACACCAGAGTGCAACTTTAGAAAGACTAAAAACATTCTTTAACGTGTATCTGTAACAAACAAAAACTAAATGCCTTTTTCCTTTGTGAAACTCTGAACAGACATCTTGTTCCATTACAGAAAAAGTGCAAAAGAATTTGGTCGGAGGACAAAGAGACATATCAAATATAATTTGAAGCACAGTTCAAATATTTTGTCTTAAATATTTAATTTTTGTTTGTTAAAGCCAGTAAAAATACGATGCAAAGAAACCAGGTCTGTGGTTCCCAAACACCTCCAGGGCAGCAGTTTCAATTTCACCTGGGGCGCTTGTTCAAAAATACTAATTTCCAAACCCCACCCTCAGAGACTCTGACTCAGAAAACCCAGGGTGGGGCCCAGGAATCTGTAGTATTTTAAAGTACCCCAAATAATTCCAATGCAAAACTAAACGTAGAAAACAATTACTAATAGGGGTTTAAATGCTGGTGTTTGGTCCTAGGCTAGTCTCCGCATAAACCTAAAAATCACCAGGGCACTTTTCAAAGTCCTGCTTCCCCGCGGCCCTGCCCTAGGCTCACCGAGGTCTAAGGTGGGGCCCAGCAATTTTTTTCAAGAGCATTCCAGGTAAATCTGGGAAACATTAGGGTGGGAAAATGCTCTTTAGGTGAGGCAAACTGAGTTTCAATCACAGCTTTACAAAAGCTGTGACCTTCACAAAGACCCTGGTCCTGTCTTCTGTGGCACAAATGGCTCCCAGGTTTGTCATGTGGCTGAAAATAAGGACAATTAAGGTGCATCAGAAGACAGGAGGGCCTCCCAGCAAGAGCGCAATTGGGAGAAGAAAAATCACTGAATACCGCAGCACGTAACACATTGTGAGTTTTGCTTTGGATAGATGAAAAAAAGGAAAAAAGAAAGCTGGAGTTGACGTGATAAGCACAAATAACTTAATGTCGTGGGCACTGGAATCTGTGAAACCACTGGCCTTGTAGCTTTTCTGATCCATATTAGAAATACACATATACATACATACATATATAGCAACTCTAATAAAAACCTGGAAATAAAACAATTTAAAGCTCTTTAAAACCAAAACTTCATGCTTTTACTTGAGTTAATTTAACCATAAAAAATGATATAGATCTTAATTAAGAGGTTTGTAAAGTACTTCAGTTTGTCATTTTGTTGACATTTAAATGTAATTTCCTCTAAAAACTATTCTTAGGTATCACTAACTAAACTGAACTGTTGGTTTAGATTATTATACTACCAGATAAGATAAAATTTGAGATAATTTACTAGAGAACAACCCACTAATTTAGGAGTCTATATTGTTTCAACACTTACCCCTGAGGCTGTAGGTTGTGTCGTAGGGGAAGTATTTTTGCTGCAGTCATCTGAGTTAGAAGAGGTTGAAGTTGGAGTCATAGGAATGGAATTATTGCTATTACCTGCAACAGTCAAAATTAACCTTATAAATATACATTTACTCTACTGTTAAGATAGGCAAATACTTTACAATCAAATGGCATTTTGTTATATTTACCAGAGCAACTCTTTGACTTATTTATGTTCTTAGGTTTTCGTTTCCTGGTTTGAATTCCCTCTTTTTTCATAGCAAGAGGTCGAGGCACCTAAAAAAATTTCATAGGCTATAAGCTTAATCAGTATTATACTGAAGTAAAACCAAACTCAAGATTCAACACTGGTACTGAAAGCCCCCATTTAAAAGAACTTGGCATAAGTTTCAATCCAATTTTTATGCACTCAATAGATTCCAAGTGTACAAAGACTACACTTTTCCCATCAAATGCAGAGATTCCTTCAGGGAAAATGGGGTGATTTGCCAAAGAGAATTTAATACCTTTAACTTAATGTTTATTGTTTGAAATGACTTCAATTATAGAGTAAATATTTATTGACTGAGTATTTTTAAAGAGATCATATATTCTATTCCTGACAGATGCAAGGTTATTTTTCTTTTTAAGGTTCAGGTGTTCATAATATTTTGTGCAACCTTTTAAAATGAAGTATCATTATTTGGAAACAGTCTGAAAAAAAAAGAAACGAAATGAAATCTTTCAAACTGTAACTATCATCTTTGCACAAGTGTCTTTGATTACTTCTAGTTATTGCTCGCCTAGTTGATTTCTTTAACTGTTCAGTTTTTAAAAATTGGTTACTATCATGTTATCAATTCTAAAATGCACATTTTCCACATTTTCATATTTCTAAAATTGGAATGTGTCTTACAATGGATGTTTCTGATAGTCTAATTGGCAGCATTTTTGGTTTCTTACTGGTGCATAAGAGTTTATTATAATTAATATCAGATCCAATAAAGTGGATATATTCCATACATATTGAATATAGAGTACAATCAATAAAATATACATCCAAATTTTTCACTTTCATTTCGCAAATTTTTTAAACTGAAACCATGCACAAACCAAACACTAAATGTACACGAGTGAGCAGAATAATTGGCGCACCCCGTGCAGTTTCATGTAGAGTCCACAAGCATTGCACACAGGTTCACCCTCAGCGTTTCTGCGCCATAAGGTGGTGGTTGTGGTATGACAGTTGGCACAGGACAATCCAAGCCGCCGTGACGAAGGCTAAAAACAGCACAAGAATGTAAGTAGAAAAATATAAATGATTTTTATGTACACTCTACATTCATACATTGATGTATCATGTCCCTGTCATCAACAAGCATGTATCTGCTTTATTATAAATGAAATGTTTCTTGAGAAAAAAAATTTCAAGTGTAATTAGGTTGACCTTCCTGGACCGAGAAACTTAAGTTTTGCAAAGTGTGCTTGATACCATACATTTGACTTGCTCTCCCAGTGCATCATCATAGATTCTAGAATAACTGGAAAGCAGTCACACGGTTGGCCCATACTCCATGCAAAGCTTTTACCACCACTGTTAACATGGAGAGCCTCACCCATAGTTTCTTCTCCAAGAACTGTTTCCCAGTTACTACTGTTACTTTTTAAGGAAAATTAAAAGACTTTCTAAAAGTTGCCCGAATAGTTACATTCTGAAATATACCAGAAGTAATACAACTAGACTCTCCTTAGAGCCCCCCTACCCCATCCACGCACAGCAGTTGGCCATGCACTGTTGTCACAAGTCTGAGACATAAGTCATGCAATGCAATCACAAGCCACCTGCCAATGTGCTAAATGGCTTTGGGCAGTCTCCAATTCCCCTGAAAACTGGAGATAATCAGATTTCTTAGATAGGTGTAGAGGTCAGATTTCTTAGATAGGTGTAGAGGAATAAACCAGAAATCATTACAAGGGTCTATATAGATTAATGGAAATTGACCTAAGAAAAGGTATGAAATTTTTGTAAAGAAAGAAATATTTTAATACATTTCATAATTATTGTTGTGATTGCCTACTTCCTGAATTTTTGTTTTATACCTTTCACAAAGGTACAAGCAAATTTCATAGCATTGCTTTAATGCTGGCATTGTCTTATATACAGTGACGCTAATATTTATGTGCTCCATCTGTTATACTCAACTTTTGTTCATACTAAGGGTTAATTGTTATTACCAGGAAAAGCCACCTGCCTGGCACTATAACTCCCATTTCTGTTTTCTTTATGTCCATAACACCCTTAAAAGGAATTTGTTTTCTCTAAATTACTACATGTGAATTATAAAGGGTAAAAATTTAAGCTAGTATATAATTTCCTACCCCAAATGGTAAAATACAAAATTTGTTTTAAAATTACCTAATCTAAATTTCTTTTTTAAAATTTGCTTTAAATTACTATAAAAATTGTGCTGCAACCTCAGTAAAAAATGTTATGGGGAAAACTCAGGGACCAAAGCAAGTTGAAAATTACAAAACTTGGAAAGTTAAGAAAAGAAATTATAAAGAATAAAGAACAAAAATATAAACTGAGCATGTACTGAACATTCAGATTATAAGACAGAGATTTCCAAAATCTTTGCTAGCAAATTTAAAAGATGAAATTGAACTTTGCATTTACAGTTCATATCCTGTTGCATTACTTTAGCATCACTCTTTATAGACAAATTAAAAAACAAAGAGACACTGGTAAACCTTTTAGCACTACAACATTTCTAAGAAGTCAGTGCTAAGAATCAATTTGACTTCTGGTTGAAATGAATATGCTTGGCTGACAGAAGAACTACGTGGGAAATTGCTTTGCTAAATGATGAAAACATTAACAAAACCTTACACATCAAAGCTTTTCTTTTTTCTCCTTATGGTTAAAATAAAATAATTTTCTAGGTGAGGGACAGGAAGGTTCATTTTATAAACAGGCCATTTATGACGGTTTCCAATGGAATTTAGAGCCAATGTGAAGCAAACTTGTTATCAGAATTTGCCATTATAACAAAGAACTTTATGACTGTCAACTGCAGATCATAAGTGAAGCCAGTCCTCATAAACATGTGAAATGCAGGTGAATGGGTTATAAAAGTTCCTTGTAACAAGTGATCTCAGTTATATTCCTCACTGACAAGGAATTCAAGTTACACCATAAATCTCTAATTTTGCAATGTATTACAAGTTCAGATTCACAGTGATTGGTTCTGTGCTGCTAGCTAAACAAACTTGAGTTCAACATTCTGTTTCTGAGAACTAAGATAGATCCATCAAAACCATAAATAAGAAGCCCACAAGGAGAACTAATTGATAGCAACACACCCTTTAATTGGTATCATTTATAACCCATTTACAAAGCATATTGGCTGACCTTGGTTACCACCAAGACACCTGTCCCACAGAGAGAAAACTAATGGGTTCAGAAAAGTTAAAAACCGTTTTCTTTCTGGGAAATTATTTTTACGGGTAAGTGTACAAAACAAATGGCACTATCTAAATATGGATGTTATTAGATCAAATTTATAATGCAACTAGAACCTAAATGGCTATTATTCCAAATACCAGATTTTGCTCATCTCAAGAAAAATGTTACCTTTTAGAGTTCAGCTAGTACCCAGCTCAATGTTGCCTTTCCCCAAAAATAGTAATAATCAGTTTCATTGTTCATGCATTCTCTAATACATGGAAACAAGGAAGTTCTGTGGAATATTTTCCAGTGACTACTTTTTCTTTTTTAATATGATGCATTTAAGAAAAATGAAAACCATAGAGAGTCACACAATGAAGTTAAAGGGTGTCCTTTAAAGGAAATTTTAAGCTGTGGGAGGTTGTAACAAGCTTAAGGCACATACATTTATTAAATTAACCTTGGCCACTTTATTTTAAATGCATTAAAAACAAAACAACCATAAAACTAATTGCTTCTCTTTAAGGTGTCAGACTTACATTGTGATGCAATTTCACTCTAATCTATTTAACACAAACAACATGTGTAGCATTTGTTCCTGCTAATTAGAGTACAACAATTAAATAAATTACTTGAATACTTAAGACATCTGGCATCTAACTGTAAAATATTTAGCTTTAAAATGTTATTAGATTATGAGTACTTGGCTAAACAAATGTTAGCTTTACAATGGTGTTTGTGAAAACTTTATTTTCTCTAATCACTACAGTGGTAAATACCCTCTCCTGCTAATAAGCACACTTAACAATGACAACAGGAGATAACTTTCTAGAAGAAAATCGGAATTCCCATACGAGTAAACATGGTCAAATGTGTCCAAACTGGTGAAAATTCTCAACTTGAGAGCATAGAGACTACACGGGTTCTCAAGTCTATGTAGTTCTCTCAACAGCCAGATTTCAAAATGACAAAGATTAGAGTAAATTTTCAGACTCAAGGGCAATCAAAAGACATATGGAATTTGGGGCTAAACCTGTCCCTCTCTGGGGTAAGAGGTAGAAGGGACCAAGAAGCAAAAAGGACAAAGTGAAAGGGCCCCAGAATGAGGCTGTGAGGAGGGCAGGGCGGGTGGGTGTGTTTCTGCCATATTCTATTTGACGCGAATGTTGTAAGTGAACGTGGTTTTTCAAGAATAAAATCCAAACCAGACCAAAGAGTACACAGTGAAAAAAATCTTCCTTCACCTGGCCTCGGTCAGTCTACTCAGCTTTTCTCCCCAGAGGTTACCGCCACTACCAATTTCTTGTGTGTCCTTCCAGAATTATTTCAGTGCATTGGCAAGTACATCTAGAGATACGTAAATATAGATTTTTGAACTTTTAAAAAATGGTAGCACAATGCACTTTCCTTTTTTGTCATTTAGGGACGTGCTTCCCTATGTGTGAATATGGGGCAAGGCTGTCTTGGCTTCCCAGACGCTGGTTTCAGGGTGACCTCTGCTCGGGCGCCAGCGGGTGAGCGCCCGGGGCCCGCCGGCCGGGGCCGACTGGACAGCGGCGGACGCACCTGTCCCCGCGGGGGCGCCCGGGGCTGGCCGCGCGGCAGGGCGGCGGTCACACTCACCACGCGCTTCTGAGGCTTGATGAGGGGCCGGCTGAGGCCGTTCATCTTGCTATAGAGGCCGCAGGCGTTGCACAGGTAGTGGCCGGTGCCGTCCCGCCGCCACAGCGGCGTCTGGATGGAGCCGCAGTTCACGCACTCGCGACTCTCAGGCAGGTCTTCCAGCAGGTCTGCGGCGAGAGCAGGGGACCGGGTGAGGCCGCGCGGGGCCGCCCCTCCCCACGGCACCCCAACACCCCAGGCCCTGAATCCCCGCCCGCGCCCTGGCCGCGACGCCCGGAGCCAGGGTTTTGATTTCGTCGCTATTGATCTGCTGACCATTTGTCCGATACTTCTGCACCCCCTGGGCGCCCCAAGAGAAACCCTGGGAAGGTCGGAGTCAGTGCTGCAAGCAGAGGACCTCAGAGGTCGGCTTGGTCCCCTGACCCCTACTCTCAGGCTCCCCCCAGCTTTTTAAAACTGAAATCCATCATAATTACAATATGCCACTTGCCAACCCCCGAGCCACACACTATTAACGCTGATCACTGACCCCCACTGCAACCCACAAACATCCCGGGACACGGTGAGATTGCCTTATTTACTTTTATCTCAAGTAATTTTTAAAAGGCATTTTCTATATCTGCCACTCTTCCTTATTCACCTTTTCTCCAATTTAAAATAGTCAAGTGAAATAAAAGTACTGTTCTTAGGCACTTACGATAATTAGAAATTATAAATGGGAAAATTACTACGGTCTTCTCAGGGGGGGGAAAAAGCACTATTATTAAGCATAGAGTTTAAGTTTAATTTTCTTGCCGCAGGATCAAACACTAAATATTCCGATTTAGAAGTGGGTCTAATTGCTTCTAACTGCAAAGGTTTTACAAAAGGTTGCTACTTCACTGATTTAGAAAATTACCAAGACCTTCCCAGAGATAAATAATAGTCTTCTAATTTCCTACACTAAAATTTCAATTTATGCAATCTATCTAAAATGTGTCTATTTTACATCATTTTTATTATTTGGCTGGTTTTTAGAATTCACAACTACCTAAACCTGCTAATAAAAAGAAACCTTAATTAAGAGTACATGGTTCTAACATTTATTACTTCCCCTCAAGAAGGTTAAATAAGAATAAATATCTATTGTCTACAATGAGACAGGTTCTTATGTAGACTTTTTAAAAATAATGTTTCCTACTGTTTTGGGTTGTTTAGAGGGTGTAAATGTTCTAGTTTGTCATTCTTGAAGAAGCATTTCTGAATTACTTTTTAAAGTAAATAAACATTACACTTTAGAGTTTTTATTTAAAGATTATGTGTACTAGCAAACCTTTCTATTCCCTCACATTCCCCTACAATTTATAGCTTGTGTCTACCATCAACTGTCTGGTAAAGATATTTAAATATGACTTTAGCATAAAAACTCTTTAATTCCATCAATACTATTTACCCTACAAAGTAAGTCTCTTTTCTCCTGATTTCCTGAGTTATGTCTTAAGTTTAAAAGACACTAGCATCCTACACAACCCCGAGTTCAAAGTTGTCATGGGGATATTGCAACTTACAACACATCACAAAGATTTATTCTTCTGTGCCTTAAAAGCCACTATTGACTACGGTAATCAGTAAAATGCTGAGGACTTCAAGGACGCTGAAGTTAAACAAGGTATTCGTCTTTGTTGTTGACTTTAAAATGTTACCTATCAGAGCCCCTCTGGATAGAGGAGTGGGGCGTTCCCTGGAAAACCCAGCCCTAAGCCTGGCCTCCTTCCTCTTTGCTGGGAACAATAAAGACGTCCAGGAGAAGACAGTGTGAACCCCCAGGTAGAACCCTTCATTCATCTGAAAACCCAAAGACAAAATTTCGTTTAAAGTCCACTTTGGATAAACAAAATCTAGGAACTTTGCTTATTTCTAATTAAAGAAAATCTGTCTCATTGCTTCCCTACCTCTCTCCCACACCCACCAGGCAGCTACAATTCTATAACTGACAGAAATGGGGCAAAAAAAGTTTTATAAAAATTATAAAACCTGTGCTGAAAGCTTGTTCCCCAAGTTCCCGTGATTCAATTCATCAACCCTCTCCTAACATGGCTGGTGGGCTGATGCTGCTGAGCGACAGTTCAGGGTGGGAGCTTAGGAGGGTGCAGGACTCAGGGAATAAAAAGCTGTGAGGACCCTGAGCTCACCCCATCCACCCCCAGTCAGGGACAGGTATATGAAGTGGGTTTCCAGAAACCTCCAAACCGCGCAGGTTGGTAACACTTAGCACTTGGGTTTTAGCCCTGGTGTTTGTTCAAATCAATTAAAGAGTCTGTCTTCAAAAAATGGTTTGTTTTTTTAAAACATTGAAGTGAAGAAACAGGAAATCTAGCTAGGAAGCTGGCATCAGAACACCTGAGAGGACAGACAAAGTTAGGGTCACCCACACCAAATACTGGCTTGGTCCCAGTGGCTTCCTGCTTTCTTAACGGACTTTTCATACAAAATTAAGTGTTTCCAAATCCCTTCCCATTTTTTTTTTAATGTACTCTGGGTCTACAGAAGATTTTTCTAACTGTGATGTCATGCCCAGAAGGTGAAAAAAATCAGGGAAAGGATAGGCTCAGTTTAAAACAAAAAGAAACTTACTACTCGCCTGCAACTGTGCCATACGGCCCCTAAAAGGATATCTCATACAGAACCCGTTACTGTAAACATCTGAAGACTCTCATCAGCCTTTGGACTAGCTCACTCTCAGTCGTGTGAAATGCTGGAAGACGCGGGGAAAGGAAATCTAGACACCAAGCTAAGGTGTGTCAAGAAACAGGCAGAGCTCCAGGATTGTGCTCAAACTGCACCCAACTCACATACCCTTTCAGATTCCCTATAAGACTCCATGATTGACAAAAGAAACTTCATACCCAGCCACCACCCCCTTCCCGTCCTTTGAAGATTCCTCGTCTACTGTTCTCTTTGCTCCTGGGAGCCAAATTTGGGTCCCTATACAGCAGGAAGGGTGACAGCCCTCTGCTCCAACCTAACAGGGCAAATTTCAACAGGGTCCCCCAACCCCATTCCACACACAGATGGTAAAGATGGTCTCCGGAACCAGCTTTGCAGGAGAAGGAAGAAGAGGGAATTTTGTGACCAAAGTCTTAGAGCTCTTGGAAGAAAAGAAGAAGGGCTTTTACCAAGAAGTTTGTTGCCCCTCTCTTTTTCCTAGTGGGAAGCTGTTCAAATCAGTCCCTTCACTTTCAGGCCACTAGCATTTCCAGTATGTCTTTTGAACACAAGATAAGCAACGCTCCACTTCATCTTAACGAATCAGGGTCCCTAAAAGGACCTGCTGTCCCTAAAAGTGGCACCGAGGCTCCCACAAGAAGCCCAGACCTGGGGTACACAAGACACTGGAGTGGGACAGTTTGGACTGGTGGGTCTCCCTTATCCTTGCCACTCATGTGACTTAAAGGCCTCCCCACAGCTCCCCTCAAACAATCAGCAACAATAAAAAAGGTTTTGTCTCTCCTTAAACGAAAGGTTATCAAACAGGTGAAATATAAAGTAAGAGAAACCAGTGAAAGCAAAAAGGACGCGGAACGCTGCGGCCGATGTGGCTGAGAAAGAACCCAAACACCAGGGCTCACACTCTCCCTGCTGGATCAGAACAGAACATTTCTCAAAATGAGGTATTTCCAGGTATTTTCGACAATTGTGTTTTCCCAGTTTACCTCCCAGTGGCCCCCAGACACAAGAGTTAGAGTATGAGTAGAACTGGAAGCTGAAAAATTGGTGGGCTGAACTCTGAAGGAAGCATAGGTGCCCCAGCTCCAGGATCTGAGGGTCACAGCCCGGCCACAGAGCCAAGCCCAGCTGATGCCAAGCGTAAGGGCCTATCCACTAGCTTTCCTTCAGGATAGTCACAGGCTGTCCAGTTCAGGTGTCCTCTCTCCTTTTCTTTCCCTCTCTCCCCTGGGCAGAGGGAGATGTCAACTAGCTTCCTTAAGCCTTTAGGTCCTTCTGTCGTGCTCTTTATAAAAATACCCTCCTCCAGGAAAACACACACAACTCCTCATTTTTGGAAAGTTAAATTGGATGAGACTGCAAGTGCATGTGTGTATTTGCGGAGAGGATGGATCAAGTGCCCAACACATCCCCAAACTTACCCCCACCATGGAATTCCACTTGTCCACTCACCCAAAGGAGGCTCGGGCCCTGTCAGTTCTCTCCCAACCTCATTTTTCCCCAATTGCCAACCCCGTTAGCTATTCATCACGCCCCCGCGAGTTTCTCTCTGGCACCGAGGTAGAGATGTGCACCTAGTCTAAAGGAACTGAGACAGTCCGCACAGCAGAATCCCATCGAGGCTACCAGACTCTGGTCATCCCGACACAGGCCTGCGAATCCTTTCCGGAGCCAGGCTGACCTCTGTGCAGAGGGGACAGGAAAGTCCTGAAATCATGGCCCAAATCAACCAAATCAAGTAACTGCTTCACACCCCCTATGCCCCAGCGCCTCGGCATCGCACCCCCAAACTGCGGCGCTACCCTTACCTGCGCTGGGGCCCCGAGGCACGGGGAGCGGGGCTCCGGCGCGACTCTGCAGGCTGTGTAGCACCGGAGTCTCGAAGGGTCCAGCAGGCCAGGCGGGCGTCAGTGGCGCACCCACGTAGGGAGAGTAAGGACTTGGGTGGTGGTGGTGGTGATGGTGGTACGTCCCGTTCAATGGCCGGGCCGCCGACAGCGAGCTGTACTGGTGCTCGCGGCCTCCCATGGCCGCCAGGCTGCCGCCGCCGCCGCTCACGCCGCCCGCGCCCCCGCTGCCCGCAGCCGCGTAGCCCCCCGGCTCCCTCGCCGCGCCGTTGGCCATGGGCGGGCTGGGAGAGTAGGGGAAGCGCGCCGAGACGTGCGCCGCGGCCGAGCCAGAACTGCCAGGCCCGGCGGCCCCGCTGCCCGCCGCGCCACCTCCGCTGCCGTACGGGGGGCTGTCGGCCGAGGCCTGGGGCCAGCCGGGGTGCGCGCCCGCGCCGCCCGCGTGGTTGGCGGGCCCGCTGCCCGCCCCCTGCAGGTAGGGCAGGCCAGGCAGCATGGAACCCACGCGGGTGGTGGGCACGTAAACTGGGGAGCTGGCCGCCGCCGCGGCCGCTGCTGCTGCTGCGGCCGCAGAATGCACGAAACCGCCGGGCGCGCCGTCGTAAGCGGCTGGCCCCTGGCTGGAGAGGGCGGCGAGGGTCTGGTACATCTCCTCGGGCTGCTCGGGTGCGAAGGGGCTCAGCTTGGCGCCGCGGCTGGACCACAGCAGCTTGCTGGCGGTCGCGGCCTGGTCGAGGTCAGTGAAGAGCAGCAGGTCCTCCCAGCTCGGCAGGGCGCTCCCGGGGCCAGCGACCCCGGGCGCCGAAGGTCCGTGGGGAGCCCCGAAGGGATGCGAAGCGTAGGGGCTGAGCAGCAGCGAGCGGGCCGGGGGTCCGGCAGCCGCCTCGGAGTCGAGCTGCGGCGTCCTGCAGTTGCTGGCGCCGCCGGGGCCGCGCTCGCCGCCCCGGGAGCAGCAGGAGGAGGACGAAGAAGAGATGGGGGAAGGTGGCGTGGAGGGCTCTGGCGCTGGAAAGGCCCCGGAATTGCCGGCGTCTGTAGCCGCGGCCCCGAAGCGCTTCGGCAGGCACCAGCCGCCGTCAGTCAAGGCCATCCACGGTCCCGCGCCGCTCCAAGCTGACTTCTAGCTCCTGAGGAGGGGTGGAGGAAACGGAGACGGGAGGAGAGAAAAAGAGGGGTTACCAAAAGCGTAGGCTGCACACCGCCTAACTACACCAACCTCCACTAACCGCCACCACACTAACCTCCACTCCCTTTCCTAGATCAAACGGGATCTAAGTCAAATGGGACCTTTAAGACTCCTCGAAGATCTCATTTCTGCCTCGGGCGTGGGGATTGGGGAGGGAGCGGGGAATGGAGCCTGCGCAGCCGCCACAAGGTCCTCAAAGGACTGGGAGACCCGCCCTCCCTCACTCGCACCGCTTGGGTCCCCTCGCCCTCCCCGCCCACCCGCTCGGCAGCATCCTTCCTCCTTGCGCGCGCCAGATCCCAGGGGTGATCTCGGCGAAGTTGGCCTAGGGTTTCCTTCCGCCCCAAAGTGCCCCTCTGGGCTGATGACACACAAAAGAATTTAAGTAGCTGTGCGTGTCGGCTCTGCCGCCTCCCGCCTCCCTGCAGATGCCCCTCTCTCGTAATTCCTCGGTGTGAGGGCTCCCCGCGGGAAAATCATTAGCGCAAGGACGGCAACCTGTCTACGAAAACGAAACTGCCGTGTTCTCCCATACCGGCTCTCCCAGAGTTTCCCTGGCTGCGCTGCCCAGACTGAACTCGAGCCCCACAGAGAAATGCCACTCAACCCAGGGAAAGCGGGGCGCCGGGGCGTAGACCGCAGCCCCGGACCTTCCCAGCATTGGCAGTGCGGGGAGCCCGCGACGCCACACACCTTACGCAGGGCCCGCGCCTGCAGGCACCAGCGCGCGCGCTCACGCCGGCCGGGCCACCCTGGCCCAACCCGCGGTCATCCTCAGCCGCGGAAAAGCCAGACCGTTCCGGAATCGGACGTAGCGGGGTGGAGCGGAGGGCAGAGAAAAGGAGGGGAAAACGCAGGGCGGGGTGGGGGGGTGGTGACACCGTCCTGGAGCCAAGGCTACCCCAAAGGGGAGAGCAGGAAGAATGAGAGGGAGACGCGGAGGGAGTGGGGGAGGGAGGCGAAATGCAGCAGGGCTGGGCTCCTCCGGGCTGCTTTTCCAAATCGCTTTGGCTCACGGAGGTTACCGCACTAAAATTAATGCCCACACATACACAGACCTGGGCTAGATAGCAAGAAAGAAGTTTCTCTGCCCGCCGGACTACCGGCTCCCGCCCCTTTGCGCCGAGATAACTCGGAGATAAGCTGCGCGCAGATAAGCTCCACGGAGAGAGAAAGACACCAGAAGTTTGTCCGCGGTGTCCCGGGAACCTGGGAGCCGCTACAGCCCTCCCGGAGGGGAGGAGGGAGACACTTCGGAGCCGACCGGGTCAGACAGCCGGAGGCCTAGAGGCCCAAGACGAGCAGGGGTGGAGGGGAGGAAAGCGGGGAGCGAACTAGGGAGGAAGCAGCCGAACCTCGAGCGGGCGCTGCGCATGGAGAACGGCGGCGGCGGCGGAGGGTGCTCCGATGCGCGAGAGAGGCCGAGGGCGCCAGCGGGCGAGCGCGAGTCCGGGGTCTGCGCGGCGCTGCTGGTGAATAAAAAGGAGAGAGGAGGCGCCTCTTACTGCTCTGCCGGAAAACTGCAGCCTGCGCTCCTGATTGGACTCACCGAGCCCTAAACAAACAGCGCTAGCCGAAGGGTGCCAGGCTGTGGGTCGGAATTGCGCTCTGCGAGCTGCTGGGCGCTGGAGGTGAAGAGAAGGAGGAGGGATCGAGGGGAGGAGAGAAAGAAGGATGGGGAGGGAACGACGAGGGGGAGGGGAGCGCGCCGCCCTGGCAGACAATAAGCGCTGCGCAGCCTGCGGGCTTGGGCTGAGCGGCGAGCACTGTCGCCGGAGTGGGGGCGAGTCCACCCTGGGGGCGCCGAGCCCAGGGACGCCGGGGGAGGGGTGGAGGAGACAGAACGCCTGACCTGGCTGGCGACCCACACCCATCCAGCCGCGGAGCACCCTCCGGCGCCCCCAGTTCACACACACTCACACGCAGAAAGAGGAGGGCGCCTTGGCGCGGGAGGAGTTGGCTGTGCACCGCAGTGCGCCGCCGTCTCTGCGGGAGGAGCACGCCGGCTCCTGGGTCGGCGCGCCCCCAGGATGAGGGAAAGAGTGCTGTGCCCCCTTCCCCCCATGAGCTTTTTGCTCTGCAGTTGTGTGTGACCTTAAACTTTCCCCGACCCTGTCTCGGGATGCTAGGGCATGGTGGCCGTCAGGGATTGGGGCTCCTCCAATCTGGGAAACAAGGAACCCAGGTGCCCAGCTCCTATCTCTCCCCTGCTCTTAAAATATATACTAAATTCCTGGGAAGTTTCGGGAACTTCGCAACGACATTCCCTAGCTAACCTTTGGGAACTTTTAGCTCGAGTCGTCGTGTACAGAAAGGTTAGTCTATGGGGTGTGCAGGATGGAAAAGGGCTTCTTCCATGTCAGTCACGTCCGGGGACGCTCTCGGAGTTCTGAAGTCTCGTTTGCTCTGAGCTTCCCCCGGACAACTTCAGGTTAGTTGTAGATGAGTGGTGGCAAAGCGGGGCGCGGGGCGGGGGTCACCTTCCTTTATCCAGCGCTCCCCCACCCCCACCCTCATATACACACCCCTTCTTCGCTCCCTCCAAACGGCTATCACAACTGTGTACAAACTGATACGGTCCTCAGCGGGCAAAGGGACTGGAAATGAACGTCGCGGGGTTATCAGCGCCGATCTGTCAGCAGTGAGTCGCGCGGCTGCAGGCTGGTCCGCGGCAGGAGCCGTGATGTATGTCTCGCTCCCTTTCGCTCACAAAAAGGATTTCTTCCGACAGACGTGACCCCAGAAGGCTGCCGAGAGAATTTAACTAGGACAAGAGGAGCTGTTTTGTGAGAATGGAATTTTTACACTTTTTTCCCAGGTAAATCGAAGTAAATGATTTTCTAAAGGTCAGTGTCTCTGAAAGCGTTTGGGCTCTGTTTTTTTTGTTTGTTTGTGTGGTTGGTTTGGTTTTTTTATTTTTGCTTTTTTCCAGTTAGAGAAGGGAGAAGGAGCCTAAGTCGAGTTGAGCCAGGGTACGTAGGTGCACTGTAAAATACGGTTTCGAGAGACTGTGAGACCTCGTTGTTACGTGTATGTTTCCTTTCAACATAACTGTGAGCTGGGAACCTGTGGGTCCTGAGGGGGCAGAAGGGACAGGGCTTGGCTGTGCGGGGGAGGGGGCGCGGTATCCAGGAAGTTGGCAAGAATTCTTCTTTTTTTCATTCTTCGTTGTAAATTGCTGCTAAACACTTCTGAATTTTAAATTGCTACCGAGAAGGTCCATAAACCGTTTTCGTACTATGTAGTCACTTTTATTACATTCCTCTTTGCCTCCCCCAATCACTGCGGCGGCTCCCAGTTTCAGCGTGGCCGAATTTCTAAAAGGCTGAAGGTAGAAAACTCTGGAATGGAGAGACTGGCGACTGGAGCAGGATCCAGAGGCTTTAAATTTTAACCTGAGTTCGATCGAATGCGACGACGAGAAGAGGTAGCCCGGCGTCAGCCAGCCGCTCAACTTCCACTAGGACTTCGAATGCCTTGTTTTTGGTTCTTTCGTGAGTTCTGGCCAAATTTTTAAATGGATTGGGTTTTTGCAGAAGCTCATTTGTAAGCAGTTACGGAAATGTGAACGTTTGATTTCTTTTGAGTCCACTGTTTTGAAATAACGTTTCTCAGGTTTGCTATTAAAAGCAATTATAAAAAGAAAAAGTTCATATCTTATTTGCTAAAAATAAACTATTTGGCTAAATTTGCGTCTAGGCTGTGAACGGCCTCCAAGCCTGAGCCCCAAATAGATTGAGCCCCAATAGATCGAGCCCCGGCGCGAGCCTGATTGCTGTCTGGTGTGTTTCTTTACGTTTGCAAGTAGGAGGGTGCCTGTGTGGATCTCCCTGGACAATAGCTAACCCCCAGGGACCTGCTTTTCCCATAGCTCCACAGCCGCGCCGGGAGGGCGCGCTAGCCCAGGCGCCGCTGGGACAGCAGCGGGCGGCAGGACGGACATTGACCGATTCGACAACGTTCGGGCTCTAAGGGCTCGAAAAGGGACCCGGCATTTTACCCTCCGGATTCTCTATCTCTTTTTTAATAGTGCCCAAAACAAAGAAGAAAAATAGGTAATTGCTCTTTTTCAGGATCACGCATTGTATTTATTTTTTAGACTGGTTTTCCAACCAAACGGGGCAATGGGTAGTGAAATGTTTTGTTGTTTTTTTTTAATGTCAGTTAATTTAAAAATAAAAAAAACTGTTTAACTCGTAGAGTTGATTCAGACAGAAAACTCAGGCTGCCTGACCCCCCAGTCTGCCCTTTACCCAATGCGTTGGCCTTGGCGCTGGGGACAGCACCGTGAGGGAGAGGCATGTTTTCAAAGCTACCTTCATGGGCCCCAGGCCCCGCGAGCTGAGCTTCCTCCGAGCGCCCCAGCTGCTCTGGAAGACCGGCAGAATAGGGGTAAGGAGGGAAGAGGTGCACCCCAAACTAGGGAGAAACCCAAGAACTGGAGAGAAGAGCCCCACAGTGACCCAGGTAGACAGGCTCTTAGATGTTCTTGTTTTCCTTCCTTTTCCTTTTTCTTTTTTTCACCCCCGTCTGTCTCCTCTTTCGGGGTTTGCTAATCTTGAACGAAACTGTTTCTCTCCGGACTATTCAGACCCCAAGAGCGGCCACTGTGGAGTGAGCCGTCCTCCTTGCCCTCAGAGAGGGCTGGCTCCGGGGCGCGGCCTGTCCCCAGAGTTGATTTATTTGGGCCGCGCCACACCACTATTCGCGATCCGAATCCAGCCAGAACACAGCAGCCAATTGGGCAAGGGGCGGGGGCTTTGCTGCCACACGGGACGGGTGTTCAGGGACGCAGCCTTGCGCTGCTTCCGGAGGAGCCGCGAGACCCACCGTCCCCCTCGAGCCCGGCAAACTCAAGCTCATTAACTTAGTTCACAAGGCTGCAGCGATGTTTCAGGAAGAAAAAGAACGCGATTTCTGACCTAAAATATAGTTTTAACTTTAGATCTTTTTAAAACCAGATTTATGAGGCCTTCTCGCTTATGCCATATTTCTTCCTGTCCCGGCGACGCTATTACCCAAGGACACGGGGTCACTTCAGCACCCCCCATCGCCGCCAGCGTCCAGGCCCAGTAGCCAGGTCCGGGTGTCGTGTCCCCCCACCGTCAGTGGCCGTCAGTCCAACGCAGGCCATTGACCAGAGGCCCGATGGTGATTTTCTTTCTTTTACATTTAATTCTCAGAAAACCAAAAGTATTCCGTAGCAATGTCAGGTGATTGGGGCGGAAGCGCGGAGGTCGCCCAACCCCTGCCCCGGCTCCCGGCCGCCATCCACTTCGGGTAAGGCACACGCGGAGCCGGCGCCGGGATGCCCAGGGGCTCGCAGTCGAGGCCCTGGAGCGCTTGGCCCGGCCGAGCGCAGCGCGGTGGCTGCAGGCCCTGCCCGGCCCGGCCCCTCGCCCGGCGCAGCCCCCGGCCGACCCCCGCGCGCCGCCGGCGGCAGCCAGCACGGCGCGGAGGTGGGCTCGCGGCGGCGGCGCGCGAAAGGTCACCGCAGTGGCATTCCTCTCCGCGCGCTGTTTACGTGACTTAATGTACTTCATGCGCCGCGGTAAGTTAGGGCCGCGATAAGGGGGCGGCCGGGGGAGGGTCGCTGTAAAAGCCCCACGCTGGGTGCCCCTACCCTCCCTCATCCATTAACCTTTTTACTTTCTTCTTCCCTCTCTCTCTTAAAGCTTGTTATCTAGGCCACCCAATGACCGACGAAAGATTTTCCCTCCCTGCGTCTCCCATGGCCGCTTTAAACCAAATAAATTGAGCTATTAAGGGCCAAGATGTCTGACAAAAGATCGAAAGGTGTCTTTCGGTGATCGCTTAAAGAAGCGAAGGAGAAGCTTGCGGCTCACAAATCCCGATAAAGAAATTCCACACCGGCGCCGGCCTCCCTCCTCGCAGCCCGGCTGTGCCCGGACACCCTGAGATCCCGACTTCAGCGGCCGCACGTCTCGGATGCGTGGCCGCTGCCCGAGGAATGTGGGTGGCCCCGGGCTGCGGGGCCTGGGAGTGCCAGGTCCTGGGGCCGAGGCAGACACTGGGGTTCCCGGAAACTGTGGACTCCAGGTCGGAGCTGGGGGTCCCAAATGGCCCCCCGCACGTCGCAGAAAAACCAAGCTTAGAGGGCCTAAATGACTATCCCATTTTGGTTATTTTATGGTACTAAATATAGTAAAGACAAAGCCACCCCCCACACACCCTTTTTCTAGGAGACAACGTAATGCTCCACACCTTCCTTTGAACACGAGGCAGAAGGCGGTTGGTACAACCGGGCAGCTGAGTTAGACTGAGGCTAGCTGGGAGGGTGTGGACTCCAGACCAAACAGCCCGCAGGTGGGAGGCAGAGGTCCAGTCATTCAGTCATCCTCAGGTAGGGTTTGGTTATGAAGTGTGGTATTTATTATCCTTATTAATTGCTACTGGCATCACTGCACAAAGCCCAGGGCTGCCAGCTGGGCGGAGGCCCTGCCCCTGGAGTGATCCCTTCCCTTTCACTAACGGGCGAAGCAGCGAATATCCAGTTTCCTGCTCCAGGACTCGGAGGTGGCTTGGAGAGTCAGATACTGATGTTTCTGAAGTTTTCTCCTCCCCTTAAGCAGATGGAGCATT